ATAATAATAATAATAATAATAATAATAATAATAATAATCAATCTTATTTGTACTCATTCTTGCTAAAGAAAAAAAGTTGAATGAAAAGATATTCGTGTTATTGATATCTCAGCCAGTGAAAGCCAAAACTGTTTATTACATTTGTTATCGCTAGAGTTTCGAGTTCTCTAGTTCCCGAGTAGAGCTGCCATAGATCGGGAACCGTGGTTTACTGGTACAATAGAACATAGGTTTAGCAACATTATTGACCAATCAGAGCGTGCGTAATATCTCAGTTATTTTATAATTGTCAATAAGCAGACAGACGCATGAATTTACAATTTACGCGATGCGTCAACGAGCGAGGAGAGCGGACAATTTGAATATGTTATCGTAAAAAACAAATTGACGTCAAATTTTTATGCGTCTGTCCTGTTATTGACAAAATTTCGCCACAGTTACTTTGACAATGTTATGACGAAATTGATGATCAATAACAGGACAGACGCATGAAAAACTGACGTCAATTTGTTAACTGGACGACTGTGTAACAGAGATCTTAAAATAGCTTTAGAGAGTATTCCTTGTAAATACTCTGCCAAACCCTCCTTACCCTTACCCTAATTGTACGGTAACTACGCCGAAAGCTTATCTTTAAAATTTACACAACTAAAGGGGAATAGCAAAATAACCGGCAAATTAACTAGCCTAGCTAAGTAGCCGATACTGCGTCGGCCTTACCTGAGGGAGCTCTGGTCTCATTCCAGCTCTTCTTATAAATACCTGTTGGTCGGCAAGAATCAGAGCTTTGTCAATAAACGTGGCGCCTCTCTGAAATCGGATTTTGTCGATAAGACTGTAGTATCCAGCCTCTGTAACTTGCGATCCTTTAAGTCTGTCGAATCTAAACTCAAGGACAGCGGTGGTGCTGAAGGTTACAATAGCAATGTGTGTTTTATAAGGGCCGACGTTGAAAACTTTTACCATGTCTTTCAAGAACTGCAACATCCTGACCCAGTTCTGCCAGCCAATGCTTCCGGATGAATCCACCAGAAAAGCCACGTCTGCTGCAGCTTGGCAAACAAATTCTAAATGACAGTAAAAAAAGGTAGGGAAAGTAAAATTACGACGATTAGAACTGTTAATGAATGAATCTTTTCGAGGATGTCATTTGCCTCCTCCGCATTTGTGAGATGTGATCTCGCGTCAATTTTGATTCAATGGGTCAATTTCGATATATTAAGATACCACCTTGGCTCCCGCGCTTCCGAAAAGAAACAGAATAAATTACTTCTCTTTTTTTTGTGCCGTTAGGTGAAAGTGGTAAAAAGATGCGTTTAAATTGTCTGTTCGCAGACAATTACACAGAATAAAGACTCAAGGCTGGTTTTCACTAGCGACGGAGTCATAAGAGAGCTTACGACCTAATGAAAATCGGAAATCGGTGTCGTAAGCGGAGTCATAAGCTCGACGCAGTCGGAGTCGGAAGAATCAGAACGTTTCGATTTCTCCCGATTCTATTTACGACTCCGTCGCTTATGATCCAGCGAAAACTAGGTTATCGGAGTCGGAAGCAAGAAGCAGAAGAACGAACCAATCGCAAGGCCTGGAATCGAGCATTGTGATTGATCGATTTTTTCGCTTCTGCTTCCGACAATCTAGTTTTCACTAGATCACAAACGATTCCGTCTGTTTGATTTTCACCAGATCGTATCGCTGTACGCGTCTGATTACGACTCCAACCACTACTCCGTTGCTAGTGAAAACCAGCCTTAATAAAGCCAAAAACTTCACCTTGAAGGAACAAAACAGTAAGAAATTTTAAACTATGGGGATATATATTTCGGTGCTTAGTTTTCTCATCATGCATTCTCTCTGAATGACTTTCACAATAACGCATAACTAAGTGTGGTGGACGGTAAATAGGAATTGTTTTCCAATAACGATAAAACCTATATTGTGAGATGGTTTTTAGTTATGCTGACGTGACCGAGAGACATATAAACCAACAATCTCTATTGAAAAGATGCCTGTCGTGCTTAACTGTCATCACAAGGAGGAGAACACGAATGACAACAGCTTTATTTATCCATTATTTTTATATATTAAATTACATAGCAGTATACATGTGTAATAATAAAATTAAAATAAGGGTAACTGACAACCCGGGATAGCCTGAAATAGTTAAAATGCTAGGTTGCCAGTTAATTACATTTATATTACAGTTTTTAGTCGGTAGCTAACTAAATTAAACACACACAGAAACGTTAAATACAATAAATGAAAATAAGGAGATTAGCATTATATAAATTATACAACTGTATTATCCTACGATTAACTGCGCCAAAAATACCGGTATTTGTTTGAAGTCATTAGCAAAATTCAGAAAGTACAAGCCAACAATTTCTAGAAATACAAAAAAGAACAGAATGTCCACTAGGATATTCTTGAGCTTGTCCAGTTGCATCTTATGCTTAACGGAAGTAGTAGTGGGAGTGCAGTATTGGTCATGCCGCAATGAAGAGAGGGAGGAGTTCCTATAACCCATATTTTAAATAATAAACGAGGTTTATCCCCGTAACACATTAAATGCTCTGTTTTTTTTTTAGTATAGCTCCTGTCCTCCTTTCTAAGATTGGAATAAGTACATTTTCTTTGCTCGTAACATGAATGAGTCAGGATTTTAAAACTGGCAAAAGTAGCTCAGAAGTATCAAGTGAAAAATTGGGAAAGCGATTTCTTCCTAAAAAAAGATATCTCATATCGAAAAACGACTCATATTGAAAGATTTAACCTGATGTTGTCAATTTCGACGTGCGAATACCCTTTCAAATTTGCCCAATTGAATCCATCCTTTTTGGTTAATACCCCCCTTGTTGTAATGTACATCTCAATGTAGGTAGGGAAGAGGGAAGAGGAGGGGCAGCACTTATGGAAAGACTGAAATGAGTACTATCCCCGGGTACGCGAGCTGTAGTTACTTATAAACAAGCGAGCAGCACTTTGTACAACGTCACGGTTTTAACGTTTTGTATTTATCAATATCTCCAATCAATTTACTGCACAGCTAAAGACACAAACACAAGTTTAATACCTAAAAACAATCCTTTTGCCAAATCTAACAAATAAACATAAACATAAACATAAACATAAACATAGACATAGACATAGACAGAGACAGACATAGACATAGACATAGACATAGACATACTGTAGACAAAGACTTCGCAAACTCATTAATAATTCATGAAGTTTAAACAAAGGAAATCATGACCGTGACGGTGTTTGGATATCTGATCTTAATTAGCATAGATTTTCACGATTTTATTTCTCCGTTTTCTCCTTAGTTTTAGTCTCGATTGAGAAGATATATCAAACACAAAACACCGTTTTTGACCACATTTCCAAACACCTCGAAGTTGGTCAAAAATACTCCGCTGCGCGTCGTATTTTCAACTCTCTTCTCGGTGTTTGGAAATGCGGTCAAACACGGTGTTTCGTGTTTGATATATTACATAGACATAGACATAGACACAAACACAAACATAATACCTAAAAACAATCCTTTTGCCAAATCTAAAAAACGAGAGCGCTTCAAACAAACCAGAACTGTCTTGAGTTCAAGCCACGCAAAAAGAACAGTCAGCTTTTCAGGCCGCTTTAATTCATCCTGCTTTGTCAAGCTTATTTGTCAAAACATTGTTTTTTTCGTACTTGAAATTCCTCAGTAGCCGACTGGAACGACGTTGACTGTCACTCCGAACTAAGATTCGCCAATCAAGATCTCGATGAATCACATGCCTGTTTAGGTATTCCGGAAAAAAAAATGACCTGAAGCGCCAGACAAACTTTCTGACACGAGAATAAACATAAGCCGAATAGAATAATTTTTGGTCACAGATAAATGTATTGATCAAACAGAGACATCAACACCCGCTCCCGGGCATAGCCCGGAAATTTTACTCGTTGCCACGCCCAGGGAAGGCGGGAGTTTCACACCATATGGGAAGGGTGGGAGTTAATTTGGACAGATTCCCGCGTAAATTGGAGTAAATCAGCTCACAGAAAGTAAATTTTTAGCAACGATCTTTGGGATATACACCGTATTCAGACCTTAATAAATTTTTGACCCGTAGAATCGGTAAATTTGTGATGTGATCTCAAATGTAGCTATTTGCGTACATAACTCGGTGGGGGTAAGACTTAATACAGTCGAACCTCCGGTAGCGACCACCTCTCGTAAGCGACCGCCTCTCCTCAGCAACCAGACTTTTAAAATACCAAAAGTTTCCGAGTCAAATCACTATATTTTGAACCTCTCGTAAGCGACCGCGACCACTTTTAGAGCTGAGCTAAGAGTTTGAAATTTTCTTTTGTTTTTAACCTCCAATAAGGGACCACTTTACAGATAATAGAGTGCTGTAACATTATCGTATTCCTGGGTAGTACAAGAGACGGAAATATTTCAATGGGAAACCGGATTTTTTCTCGAAATTGACTTTTTACATGAATAGAATGTTTGAAACATTAGCTAAGTCTCTGCAGTTACAATATGCTAATGAGGCAAAATTTTGATCCACTTTGGTCTAAGCTCTCGTAAGCGACCACCTAGGCTTGATACTTTGAGTGGTCGCTTTCACGAGGTTCGACTTGCATTGTTCGAACAAACCATGGTCCGGCGTTTTCTGTAGGTGAGCTACGCAACTCAGAGGTTTTGTTTCATTCATCATGACGCAACAGTTGTTAGCCGCGCACGCGAGAAAGAAACCTTAACTCTGTTGACTGAGGTAGAGAGTGGAGCCATTCAAAATTTTACTGTGTCAAAATCAGGATTTTTCAAGGATTTTTTTTCTACAGTTAGACGAAATCAAGTCTCTTAATAAATATAGCATACTTCGCAGCCGTTTTTTGGGAGCGTTGCGAAATAGACTACTTGCTCATTTAGGGTTATTAGTTTTAAACCGGGGATTAAGAGCCCATAACTGAGTACGAAATTCCTAATGAAAGGAAGCGGACTGGGGTGGATACAGGATTTTAGAAAAGGGAGTCGTGGGGGCATTCTACCCCCGGGAAGTTATCAAAATTGAGGTCCTGGGTAATGGGATTTCTGAGATTCTGAGGCCAAGTCAGCATTTTGGAATATCCCCAAACCGCCCCACGCTGGAAAGGCAAAGAAAGTGGTGGCTGGGTTGAGGAAACGCTTCTCTAAAAAGAAGAAAGATGCCTGAAATAACCAGTTTTTACCATCTAACAACTAGTTTACATTTTCAGAGCCCTCTTGTTAGGGACGAAACTCGCTCTCTTATCTAAATACACCTGGAGTTTCCAGAATCTTCTCAAAAGAAGAAAATTTAGCATTTTCTTAAGGTTTCTGAAGAAGACTATTACATGAAAAATAGAACGTCCCAGAAGGTTATTTCAGGTCACGGCTGAATGATTAGGGCACCATCCACCGTTGCCATCCTCATGATTCAATATAACATTAGCAGCCTGACTTTAATCATTTAAAATGGTTTTAGCTCTAAGTTGATCATCTTTAATGCGTCCATCCTCCATTCCCAGAGGAGACAGACAATCTACAGATGTGGTAAGACAGAAATGGATTTAGTTCATGCACATTCAAAAAGTGGTTGAAAGACAATCTTTTACAAGAGGCCGCAGAAATGCTCACTCTCTGTTGCTGGTAGCTAGAAGCTAGAGTACAACATAGGCACGCAAGGCGTACAAGAGTTATTATTTTTTTTGTGAAGTCTCGGAGATAGGAGAATTCATGGAACTGTTTACAGTAATGATTGGGTTAATTTGACAAGTTTTTTCGGTTGCGATGTACAGCAAGAAAGAAACTGGGAATTTATGCTGTACATACGATGTTAGATGGGTAATGGTAAGATAACTAAATAGTAAGCCATAAAATGTTTGACTGAACAAACTACAGCAATCTGACACCTCTCCAGATTAATGTAGATACCATCTTATTTTCTAACAGACAATTTGATTCGTTCTTTGATAAAACCCACACTGTGATTTGTGTGACACGCGCACATGCATAACTCACTCACCGATCACATAGCCCTTCCAACC